TGTGTGCTCCCCCGACACTCCCCGCCATCCCGGGGCACCTTTGATTTCTTTCTCCTCCTCCCTTGGGCTCAGTTCTGTTGCCGTCAGCCCACCGTGAACTGGCAGCGGGGCACCCCGGGTTCGCGGTGCAGCCGCAGCTTCCCCTGCGCTGGCAGCAGGCTCCTACCAACCATCCCCTCCGCTTTCCTTGTGCTGCACGGCCAGAGGTAACAACACACGTTATCCGAGTAACAGCAACAAGGAATCTAATGCCAAGAAAGCAAAAAGAAAGGAAAGCTAACCGGGAAGTAGCAGGAAGAGACACGAAAAGGGAGGCTGGATGTGGGTTAAAAACCCAACCTAATCCACAGAAGGCTGTTACCAGGTTAAAAGAGATGAAGTCGCCAGAGAGATCAACACTGATGCAGAAAACATACAGGCTGAATTGAGCTGTCCTTCAAACTCCCCAAAATTCATATTACTTTTGTTTATTATAACTTCTGGCTGTTCAATACTCCCAATGGACATAGAGAGAAAAAAGATGAAGAAAAGTAGTAATTCACGTCTGAAGTTTGGCCTTGTCAGAATGGCTTTTGCTGCCAGAAGCTAATAAATACAGGGCAAGAGGTTAAGATGAAACCATTTGCTACAGCTTTGCCTTGCCAGAATTGAGTGTGCACCAAATATATTGCATGGGCTGTTTTTAATAGGTTGGCTTCTTCCTACTCTGTGGAGCAGTGAGTGACTCCTGGAGCAGACTGATTTGTGTATGACCAGGTTTATCAACTGTGAAACACCTTCTTCAGCTGTGAAGGTGCTCAGAGGTTTTGTATTAATTTATTGAATCAAGAGACAGGGATCGTTGGTATGTGCAGGTGATCTGGGGTACTTAAAACACAGACTAGGCTACAGAATTTTTTCCTTTCATAGGTGGAGTTTTTTTTAAATGCAAAATTTTAAACAGAACAAGCATTCATATTTCAGTCTCAAGATGTTTCATATCTTAGAAATGTCCTTATCCTCTGGCCACACCAGTGTTTTGTAACTCTGAAGTAAAATGTTTCAACAATAACAATGTGAAAGTGTATCCCCAATTGCATACTATGTAACATACTGCAACTGTGAAGTACATTGGGTCCTGATAAAAATTAGAATCCTTTTTGCAATGTAGCCTTGCATCTATTTTCCATCTCAGCCTTAGGAGAAATCAGGTCACCTCCTCTCCACACAACAGACAGGACTTAACTGGGACAAGACACCCTTTCCTCAAGCTGTAACCAGCAAGTGCCCCGGGTGTCTGTCTTGTTTCCTACAGGCATGGAGAGCTCTTTGGTATCAACCTGGCTTTGTATTGGGCCTGACAATATCCTGTTGACTGCTACACTGAAACAGAAAAGGCAACCTCTTGCCTTATCTGAACACTTTCCACACCTTCCTTTTATTGGAGTTTCCTCTTACGCCACCTGATGTTTCTCACAGCTTTTTTGGCCGAGCAGGATGATCTGAAACACCTGAGACTGTCAGCCCTCAATCTGCTTCTTGCCAATGCGTTGCTGGTCTGTGTTTGCCAGGTTCCTCTCCAGATGTCCGTATTTTGAAATACTAGGCTTCAAAATGATTGCATCATTTAGGAAGGAAGTTCCTAGCAGTCTGAAATGAGGGAAGCTTCTGGCATCTTCTCCCAGAAGCCACCCCCGTGGTCCCCTCACTACCAAAACCTTCCCATGTAAACCCAATACATCCTTTGAGGTGGCAAGACTGGAGGATTTGGTAGTGAGCATCTTATTGCACCCGCAGTAAGAGACACAAACAGAACAATGCCCTTCCTATCTGGGAACCTTTCCTGAATCCACTTGCCATCAAACATCCTTAAAGATATAACCCAGAACAACACTTTAAACCAAGGGTAAATAAGCAAGTTAGCAAGAAACAGAATAGAACACCCCCCAAAAAGGTTATTCAACTACCATCAGACTTCTTTCCTAGGTCTTAAACCTATTAAATGATGCTGTCTCTCAGGACAGGATCTTAAAATTAGCTGGCAGGAAGGCTGGAAACACAATTTGTGCTTCTTCCAGCTTCTGTCCCCAGCTGTTTAGAAAGTTAATGCATCAAATGACATTTGCCCTTCTAGCTTGATGAGACAGAAGTTGCCCCTTCTGTTTTTATTCTTAACTTTGAATGCATTCTGCACAGAAGGATGTGTTCAATGCAAGGGATGTAAATAGGCTAACCCCATTTTTATACATACAGAGCATATAGCTTATGTTACAATTCTATTTTAAATAAACAAACTCTTTATGATTTATAATCTCATAATAAGAGGTCTTAAGACTTTTACAGCATGTCATAGCTGATGAAAGCACCCTTTTATCTGCTTTTAATATTTCAGACATGATCATTAACGACAAGTCTGGTTAAACTGCAATTTCCCTCATTTTTGGAGAATGTCAGGCACTTGCGGCAGCACAGTAGGGAACATGGAATTTGTGTCCTCTCACTTTGCTGGCTGCCTGCAAATTCCAGCAATATTTCAACTGAATTCTAAAACTATTTCCATATATTTGAAAATTAAGTACATCAAAAGAGAAAAAAATGGTTCAGTGACGTTCTGCCTGCCAGTAATTACTTCTTTAGCTCAGAAAGTTAGAGACATCACCTCTTCATACCAGTTTCCTGCTGTCTTAGGCTGTCAGACGTCATGACAGAGAACTGTCCCATTTCACTGATCTTTCTACTTTCCTGAAGCAAAATGACATCATTCAGAGCATGTGAATTAAGTATTTTTAAAAAATCAAAGTGATAATTACGTGAAAACAATGGAAAAGGTAACTATAAATTCTTTAAATACTTATAGGAAAACAATAATTATTAATGGCAAGAAGTATATGTGAAAGCCTCTGAGTAATTATGAAGAGAGAAACAATCTGAAAGGAACTGAAAAAAATAAGATTTGTGAGAGGAGGAAAAAGAAAAGGGGAGCTGAGATGGAAAAATATAAGTAAACAAAAAATATAAAAGGTAGAAAAACTAGGAGACCTGAAAAAGACCCCAGAGTGGCACTGCACAGAAAGTTAAAAGTGAGCAAGAGTCGTGATGCAGCCGAAAACCCCCCAGATCAATGACATTTGCAAAAACCATCATTTTACAGAGCAGAAAGTTACTATTTCCCTTCCTCGAGGGTCTGGTTCCTACTTCAGAATATTAGTTCAGCTTTAGATTGCTGTTCCTGGGAGTATTTTTGTACTAGATTTGGCTCAGCTGATCAGAACAAATGCCAGCAAGTTCATAAAATACTGATAATTATGAAGACATGCCTTAAATACCCAAACATAAGCATGTTTCACAAATGACGGTACAGGATTGAACAGTGGAAGGTTTTCCAGGATTTTCAAGGACATATATTTGTCTTCGGTTCTTTCAAACATCTCATATCTGATTTTTTTTTAAGGTTGAGCCAGCATTAAAAGAATCATATCTATCATAAAAACTTCACGCACTTTGAATACACAAAGTAATGCAAATATGTATACATTATTCTGAAAGTTTAAGCTACAAAGAGAACTGAACAGGCAGTTTAAATGAATCTCCAAACATTGTATTTTAATATATATCCGGTATCTTACAATCAAATACAACCTTCAGTTAAAATATTTGTAGTTTGAATGGATTTAACAGCTAAACTTGAAGCCTTTAAGTTATAAAGTGACAAACTTAACTTCATATGGTGAGTAGTACATCTCAATTTATACAGCTTTTTAATCACATTCTTGCAGAATCTTGTAAGATAAAGCATTTAAGAGTCTGTTCCAACTCTGTGCATTTTTATACATTGATCCTTAAAATTTACCAATCCTTTCAATTAATTCCATAGAAATGATGTTCCCACCAGAAAACAGAGAAGTCTGGAATTATTTACAGTGTTAAAACCTATTGCATTGAGCAACCAACCAAGATGTGCACAGGCAGCTAAACTAGAAAAGGACTATAAACCCCAGTATTTACAACTGTTAACAAAAAACTTGGTTTTTAAAATGTACAGATAACTTACTAGAAACTAACTTTTTGGAAAGCACACGCAAACGCAAAGAAGTTTAGAGTAACATTCTTTTTGCTAGAAATTTTTTAAATATATATGACCTATTAAGTTTATAATATTGTTTTATATTGTTGTAATATTAAATTTATAAGACCTTGGTATTTGTCCTCTGCCATCAATGATAAAGCTGGGCATTTTACATTCAGTTCTTCACATTCATTACATTTTATTAACTTAGTACCTATCAGATTATTTAAAAAATTCCCATAAAGTAGAATATGAAAAACATTAGTTAATTGACTGTAACATTGCTTTAAAACTGTGTTAATGCTTAAAAAAAATTAGTTTTTATTTTACATATTGTCTGAGCTCATCATTATATTTTTTCATGCAGCAACTGTGCAGATTAAAAATATTCTTGAGCAATCTTGTGTAACTTATAAATTGTTTCTCCATCTGAAGTTGGGAGACGCCTCCTGTACTATTAAGAAAAAAAAAAGACCAAATTAGTCACCTATTAACACTTAGATGCTATATATAAACATTAGACTATCTCAGACTTAACCTGCACATGTACACGTATGCCTGTACACGTAATTTTTTATTAAAACTATAGGAATTATTCCCTTCAGGCCAGTGGTGAGCTTCAACAGAAGGTGATAAACATTAACTGTTTCACAATGTAACCTAGCAATATGAAGAATGATTAATCAAAAAGGGTTTAATAATCCTACAGATATTTAAAATTCAGAAGATATTAAGAAATTTGAGGTAGTAGAGCACTTGTTGCATTTTCTGAAATTTATGAACCTTAGGGGGGGGAAATATGTGCTGCTGCATTAAGGATAACCAAATTATTTTTATCTCTTCATCAGCTGTGTTTTAAAAATGTGAGACAATGGCTGAGATACTTAGATCTAAACATAGGAGAAATCTTACATGAGCATATTGAGCCATGCTCCTGTATACAAGACATTATTTTTCTGTTTCAAGTTAGAAAAGCAAATCTGTAAAAGGCAGTATCACTCCTAATTGAAGTTATAAAAGTTATGTACCAATACAAACTGCAATCCCTAGAACGAAGTGGTGAATTAAAGACTGCAGCAGACAGCATATGGCCATAATTTGCATGGAGCAGCTCTCTTGTAACATTGTAATATGCCTGTCACATGCGTTATCCAGACTGACAACATGTTTCTTTGGAAAAAATATTTCGTGAAAATTAGGCAGACTGTGTTATGACTGCAACTCACGTCTTCCCTAATGAGAACAAAACCTGAAATACTGCAACTCAGACTATGCAGAAAGGACATCGTATCAAAACCAAATGAACAAGTAACATGAGTACACAATCATTTCTATGCTACATGTGCAGAATCAACAGAATAAATTTTCCTTAACAGATGTCCTTAATTTGAACTGAAAAACTGAGAAAGGTCACATGACGGTAAGTGCTTATCATAGATCTGGATCTAGGCTTGTATTTAAAAATTTAGCAACTGTTTCCATGCTGCAGAGATCAGCACAGAAAAACCTCAAGTGTTCTGAGGAGACTGCATTCCTCCTTCTCTGCGAGCACAAATTGAACATTAAACAAAACAAAACAAAACTTCGAAGGGCACTTCTTTTGCTTCATGGAAAGCAAGAGCTCACAGCTGAAGCAAGGACCTCCAACTGGAGTAGGAGTCACAACAATTCTTCTGATTAGTATCTCTGTGTCTCCCTTAGTTATTTAAACTTCCTAATAATTTCAAGCAGTTGCTACTTTGTGAACAGATATCTGACTGGAGCTCCCTATCTGCTGTCTCTTCAAAATTCAAAGGTGATTTCTGAGGAAAGCTGAGCTCTTTTTGTCCAGTAAACATGAAAAGGGTGTTTTGGGGGGAAAAAACCTCAACCAACCAACCACCCAACAAAACACCTGGTTTAAGAGATGAAAGTCACTAGTTTACTCAGACAAATACATTCCTGGACATTTAAAATGAATAGACACAGGTTTTTTTAGGAAACACTGCAAGTCTACCTTTAAAGAGAAAGTTAATTTATCCACTACTTCATATAAACAGAAAATGCTGTTGTTCAAGCTACTTTGGCAGTGAAAGGAATGGACAGTCAGCAGCATCGATACCCCAGAAGAGTCTTGAGGAGCCAAACTGGAGAAATGTGTAGGTCCATAATGTATGTTAATAACCAAGAATTGAGATCACATTTAAAAGCTGGTACAGTTAAGTATCACGCTGGCAAGCTTCCATGGCATTTTGCACAAAACATGCTTAAAGGCATCATTTGCTGAACTTCAGTAATGACTGTACTTGGGTGACTCTAGTCAGTCTATTTTCTTTGACTAAAAAGCAGGTCATTACTATTACAAAAATTAAGTCTCAATTGTTCAAACAATTAGTACCTAGTAGCAGAGTTATCATTAAAATAAACAGGTCTAAGTTGGAAAAATACACTCATTTCCTACTGTTATTCAGGTTGGTAAATGCTGAAAATTTGAAACAGTGGTAAATATTCATGTAATTGTTTACTTATAAGTAGATAGCTTTGGGTGCAGTTACATAATGTACAGAAAGAAATATTTTCCTTAGCTTCTGGCTGAATAATGTTTCCACATGCACATACCATTACAGAAATAGAACACTTCACCTTGCTCAGTAAAAGTAAAGGCACAAAGTAAAAACAGTAAACTAAATATAGTTGCTCTACTTAAGTACTGTACCAATCAGAAATTGTAGAAATTTACACCGTGTGATTTTAACCATCTCTAGAACACATATATACAACAATACACACTCAGGACAGGCAGAAACATAAGATGTAATCATATAAAATGCTATGTAGATGCACATTTAGGTATGAATTTCAGAAAATACACACAAGTATAAATGCTAGCATTAGGAATGTATTCCATGGTATGTTCTAAATCAAAATGTAAAGGTATATGCATTGCAGTAATCTGTGCTCTAAGCATGTAACAAAAACTTTATGAAATATTTTCTATAAGTTTGAAAATACTGTATGACCATAGGCTTTTTGTATATAATCCTACTTCAAATTGTCTGAAGGACAGCTACTGCAAGTACTTGCAGGGAGTTTTCGCCCCCCCCCCCCCGGAAATAATGCCCTAGAATATAATGAGAAACAATACATAGAAAATCCAAACAAAAATGACTCTCCTTCCACCCCTCCACCCACAACTTACACACTTTTCCTTCTTTTTCCAACTTCTTCAAGTGGACTAGGAGGTTATTTTCTGCTGCTAGGAGTAAATTTTCAGGGATCTCCTAATGGAAACACAAATATGCATTTTGTATTTGTTTATATTTCTCTCCATTATTTTTTCAGTACACAGAACTCATGGTTTATTAACAGAGATTTTCATCTTCTGAATTACCATATTGAACATTCAGTTACTTATATCATGACAGCAAACTGAAACAAGTAAATCAATTTTACACCAGTTAAACTAGTAGCATAATAACACATTTTTGTTTACTTTGCTTATTTTTTGCATTATCCATTTGTACTATGTAAACTTTGGCCAACACTAAGATGACTGTGCTCTTCTGAGCTTGGTCTGCATTGGGCTGTCAGTGTAGCTGAGCATTTTTAAAGGCAAATTTAAGATGCATTTCTTCACAGATACCTATCACTTCCATGACAATATTTGCATGGGTTTAAAAATCCTTTAGCAATTAGAATCTGTAAATCAGTAAACAATTTAAAAACACAACAGCTTCAGAAGGACAAAACATCTAAAATTTTCCAATGTTCATTAGGTAAAAACCAATAACGTTTCTCAAAGTCTTCTTCTCCAGCTCTATTATCCTAAAAGTAAAGCCTTCTTTTGGAAAATTAAAAAGTTCTCTAAGTAACATGAGTCTGGTAGGAAAATTCACTAGAAAACTAGCTCAATAAATTGTGAGTTTTTAAAAAGCTTTGAAAGACTACGGTTTTTTTATAAGGAAAGCTGATGTAGTACTGAAAAAATACTATCATATAGCGACAGGACAAGTGGTTTGTGGCTTACAGAAACATGTGAATTGCTGTATACTTAAAAACTGTAGTTGTTCAGGCAGGAAACCTGCAGGATCTTAACAGCCACAGGTAACACATCAGCATCGTAAAATGTTCAATGTGACGTAGTCATTCTTTTGGAAACTGGACATGAGCAGAACCATGACAAATGAGTTGTGAAGCTGCTACAGATCTGTTCACAGACCACAGACATTGGCAACTTTGACAAGAACCTCTGAAGCAAATGCTGTATTTATTTTAACTCTACTTGCTGGGAGGAATAACCCCCACACCACATGTACAAATTACTGAGGTTACATGAAGAAGGATGAAGTAGCAAAGAAGCACCCTTACACCTGTCTAATGACACACACGAGCTACCCAGCTTCTGAGTGCAACATACATCTCTGTCAAACTGCAGTTCACCTGCACCGTCCCACAGACTGGTAAGTCAGGAAGTTTTAATCAGTCTTTCAGGAGACTCCAAACACACTTTGACAAATAAAAAATTAACACTCATCTCATACTTTTCACTTAGAACCAAGCATTACTACTTGATTTTTGTTTGGTTCTATGTTTCTCTTTTAAAAAGCCACTATTTTCTACACTCTAATTCTTAAACTGTTACATACAATTTTAAGAGCATAACCTCAATTTTCTTTAGTTTGATCTAAAAACCTTGAATCAACAATTACCTTGTATACTATCTTTACAAGCTCCGAGGATGTGTAAGATTTTCCAGCGTTATTCTGGAGAACATTTAGAATTTGCTGTTCACGTGCAGTTCGGTGAGAAATGTAGCCTTGGATTCTAGCATTTGCATCACGTACTACTGGGCCATGACCTAAATCAAAACACATGTATCACAGCGTCATTAATTAAATTTGGAATTAAGTCTGCTACAGAATAATAGAATCATTCTTAGGTAAACTCTGGCAGACTTAAGAGTCATAAAAAGGGAGCAGCACCTCCACGTATCACTCTGTCAGAGTATCCTTAATGTCAAACTGTAGGACACTCCTTGCATGTTTTTTGGCTTCTTTTCAGAAAAAAACAAAAACAAAAAAAAACCCACCAAAAACACAACCCAAAAAACTGAATATAAATAGGCCAAAATTAAGTCTGAATGTTTGCATCACAGTCTGCAATTGAAAAGCATTAAGATAGAAAGGAAGAATTAGGATCTGAAAAGCCTGGATGGGGAAAGGGAATACCTGAGATGGCCTAAGGAAAGACTACTTCAGGCTATTAAAAAAAATAAAACAAAGAAAAGAGTTCACTGTTAAACAGATTTGAAAGATGAGATCCAGATTATTATATTACCTCTGTCTGCCTGTCTCACTCTCCCCAGAGGACATTCATACTCATGACTTACACTGATGCTGGTTTGTGAACCGCAGTGGCTGAGGCAAGGGGCTCATGTACTACTGTCCTGTTGTGGGGCTATCCAGCAAACACAGAAGTGAGAGAAGTAACATCTTTAATTGTGACAGAAAATTTTCCAGGAGACATCTTCAAAACTGACTTGCACGCTGTATTTTATTCCCTTCAGACCATATTTTCATAAGTATGATAAAAAATTAATAGAAGACAAATCAGTGAGCCTATCTGAATGCGTCAGGGCAAGAATAAGCAACGCACAATGTGTGAATAATTTTGTATCTGGCTGGTTAATAAACAAAACACACATGTTTTTTCCTGGACTTACTGTAGCAGTTCAAAAATATTCAGCTTACTGCAAGGTCTTTGAACGACATTAGAAAAGGGCTTAATTGGTAAAGCACTAACCTTTGTGGAAAAATCAAATACTGCCTAATGATACACAAAAATAACAGATGAAATGAAAATAATTTTCAGACATGAGAGTTACATGCACAGAAACGAAACTTAATGTTTTACTTACAGAGAAATTCACTTGCATGAATGTTCATCACATGCTTTTTATAGCAAGGTTTCCTATTTCTTTGCCTGTATACCTCACTTGAAGCACCAGCAGCAGCAACTTCCAGCTCTGCCAGTCTAAACTCCAAGTAATTTACAAAATGAGTAGAACAGAAACTACTGTAAAAAATAGTTTTCTTTCAGAAATTATTTGGTACCATCCAAATCAGACAGTTTCTTCTGAGGTTCTCTAACTACTTAAAAAAATTTACCATATTCCTAACTTGCACTTTTGGGTTAACTGGCTAAATGAGTTTTAAAAACTAATTTTAAGTTACTTAACTGATTTGTTTTTCAGTCTAAAACTAATTTTAAGACTTTTTAAATTAGAGCTTATTTTGCCTGAGGACAGGCAGCTTACAGAAAAATAGCAACTAATTTTTCATGTTTTGAGTATCTGTGAAACAAAAAGGTGTCAAATCTATCCTTCAGCAAGTCAAAACATTTATGCCTATCCCAACTTATACACTCACTTCAGCAGATGTGAAATTACTAAATATACACTGAAGCTTACCTTGTGTAAACATAGTACTATAAATAAAAGATATGTAACATGTAAATACAAACCCATAGTCATACGCACATACATTTAATTACTCCAAGAATATTTAACCTGAAGCTATTGTTGCTTAAAAAATTATAACTATCTCTAGCAAATATGCTGCATTTATATAAAAAAAGTCTAAATATAGAAAAAATACACATTAAGATACAAAGACCAGAGACTATAATGGCAACTGTCCATTCTCTTGCATTCTCTAATGCCAGAAGTCACATTGAAGTATTCAAAATTAAGGCCTGCATGTGGAATCACAGGGCAGTCTTAAAACCAGTCCTTGCTCTTCCAAGTGATTTAATTGACTTAGATTACAAGACCAATGTCAGTACCTGGAATGGAACCCACATTTTGCAAAGTTAAAGGTATTTCATACCCATTACATCACCTGATCCATAGTCTTTGTGTGTATGAATTTACATACATTAAAAATGATGTTGGAAAGCCTGGAACTAAATCCAGATGTGGCTCTTTCCCACCTACAATTTCTCAGGGACAGCAACACAGTTAGCTTCACCAATAAGCAATTAATATCTGCATAAATGTAAAATGTTTCTGAGCATGTGAAGTAGTTCTCTCAAAATATGACTCTTCCCAGTAATTTAGACTTGAGATCAGACAGCTTCATATTATTTCAGACCTCTGTATAGCCCGTATAGTTAAGTTTTTATTCTCATAATACCCTGTGAAGTCATACAGATTCTCCTACTTTGCACATAAGGAATCAAAGCACAAAGGATAAAATTGAAGAAAATACTATGGCTCATGAAATCTTGCACAGATTGCCAATGCCAGTACCATTTTTTTCAGTACTATCAGGGACATTCGTTTAATGTCACAGGATGGGGAGCCCTCTACTGGCTACAATGCCCTTCTCTGCTCCCAAGGAGTCTCCTCAACCATTGGCTGTAAATAGACTACTATGAGTATTCTCACGAGTGTTAAAGAAGAAATAGAGAAAGACTGGCAAAATTCAGCTACTCACGCCTGGTCAGTTTGTTACAAAAATTCATGCTCCTCTACATTTAATTCTGAGGCTGCAATGTGAGTGCTAAAGCGTGGATGGGGAACAGGAAACAGTTGAAGAATTATGAAGAACTGAAACTGCCATAAAGTCAAAGTACTGAGCTTATACAGAACTACCTGCTGGGATAGTTACTGATTGACTGCAGTACACACCAATAGCATAAACAATTGTTCTGATTAGTTCTGTTCTGAAATAGTTCTCTTTTACAAAATTGCACATATTTTTTGTGATGTGTGGTTTAAAAAAAAGAAAATTAGTTCCAAACATACCAATACTTAGCTCATCATCACTGAAAATGCATAGTATGTGACTGGCTTCCTAATTGCAAGTACAGCATGAACATAACTTACAACAGTGTAGCAAACAGTTACAGATAAATGGGGCAAACATTCAACCCTGGTGAAAGTGTAATCTAAGTAAATAATGATTAAGGGGAGAGTGAATTACAACAGATAAAAGTGATAAAACCCTACAGAATTTGGCATATATGGGGTTTTAGAAGGCAGAAATTCAATTAGAGGAACAGACTGTGTTTTGTAGGTATTTAAGTAGATCATTCAACCGATCAATAGATTGAGATTCTGCAGGCTAAAATACTCTTAGTTTTACCAGTAGTTAATAACTATGAGCAACTCACTATTTCTGTCTGTCAGCCTCCACATCCAAGGAATATCGACAATTATATTTTTCTTAAATAGCATTTTTATGCTTAGATCTTAAAGCACTTAAAAGAGCAGCTACTTCAAAAAAAAGCATATTTTAAGAATGAACACAAAAGAGAATTGGTTATGTAGGCTAAACATAGATGGTTAATGGAGGAAGATAGCACTGAGAATGTAGACACAGTCACTCAGAATAACAAACTGGAGAAGATGAAAGTGAAAAAGTTAGAAAAAATCCTGAGATGTAGCTCTGAAGAAGCAGATGAAGAGCTTAAATCTTAGTTACATAATAAATCCTTAGAATCCAGTCTTGTCAAATAGACACATGGTTGATATGAAAAGTAAATGTATTCCTGAGCTTTGCAGGAGACAGAGGGAAAAAATTAAAGCAAAGTCACAGACTGCATGAATCGGCAACTTATTTTTAGAACACGATGTTTGGCCTCTTGGCTCTCGTTCAGATTTAAGCTATGTCATTAACTAAGACAACCATTTGACAATCCTGCAGCTTTCCAAGATCAATTTGTGATTAATCTGGGCTGGAAAGGACAGACATCTCTCTCAAAAACATCACTAGGTTACTCACATTGGCAGTGCATGTGGGGATGCAAAGGACCAAAAGAAGTACTATTATTTTTTATTCCAGGGTAACATTAAGGCACATGGATAGAGTAATATGAGAAAACAAAGTTTGTTGTATGATTCCAACAGCGAAAGATTCTGACCTCTGTAAGCTTTGCATACAGAAGCACAAGGTTCATCTTCAAACGGAGAAATCTCAGGAAGGAAGGTATCAATCACAGAGAAATTTTCAAGTTTTGCAAACCACCATGCCATAAAGTCATCTTAGCTTAGGACTGGACATAAAGCAATGAACTTGAATTGTTACATTAGTAATGGCGTTTGATAGTAGTAAGAGTTCCCAAATTCATAGAGGAGATATTTAAAAGTTACATAGTAAAACAGAGCAGTTAAAAATAGAACCACTAACCTGGATATATTAAATCTAGTTTCATTTGTAGCAACCTTTTCAAAGTTTTCATGTAATCATACAGGTCTTCAATTACTGTTGTTCCTTCCCCTAAAATACAGTCACCGGAAAATACAGCATTTTCTTCTTCTAGATGTAAAGCCATATGATCATCAGTGTGTCCAGGTGTATATAAAACTCTGTTTAAAGAACAACAAAAAAGCGTAAGTTTTTCACAGAGTATATATGCTTCATTTTCAGAAGCTAGAAACAAATAACGATAAAATTGTACACTTAAAAGGAGCCTACAATAAGAATCAGAAAATAACAGACCAAGAAAGACTGAAATGTTGATGTAAACAGGGTATCACTTTGTCTAATCCCAGTCCATTTTCTTATACCATGAAGACAACACAGATCATCTCTAACATGCTTTTAATTACATGACACATCATAATAAAGGTGCATTAATGGAGCTGACTAGTCATGTAGAATTTGTGTTACACAGGGCTTTACTCTGAAGCTTTACAAAAGAAAACCTGACATGTTATTTCCAGATTGAAATGTGTGAAGTTCCTAACATACACCTCGCACTTAGCAAAAGAGGGAGAGGATGATGTTGCCAATTCTATTAGAAATTAATTATAAACTTCTAAACCCAACCCAGATAAAGTTCTGTCTCCTAGAATTTATTTTTCCCTGAAAGCTCCATGACCCAGTGGAGCAAAGCTGTCAAACAGAAAAAGGAATCATGGTCTTTGAGCTGTTCTATGTGCAGGTCATTAAACATCTGTACGGTGAGGATTTCGGACCCCACAGCTTTCATGAGTACCACATTAGCGTGCAGCAAAGGGTGAAAGGACAGCTGATATGTATACAGTAACCTGAGCTGCTACAGAGCTGCACTGCAGTGCCCTTTCACTATGATTTTTGAAAGGCAGGAGGCCTCATGCTGAGGCTGAATCAAACTGAAAGCAACACAACTCAGTCCAGCATCACTGATGAAATTCATCAGAATGTCCTTGTGAACAGCAGATGCATCAAAGCAGTCATCAGGAACCGGCAGGAGCTGATGCCAAGCACTGTGTGCAGGCCAATGCTAAACAGCACCCTGCCACACCAGTGCAGGGCTGGGAGGCCAAAAGCACAGCACCAGCAGATGCAATGGCTTCCCACCCTCACTGAATACTGACTTCAGTAGAAAGCAGGTGACTCATTCTTCTGAGGAGGCAATTTAAAAATCAAGTTGATGAGTTGCATCTTGACTTTGTAGGAAGTGGTATCCTCCAGTTCCTGATGAAACTTTACTGGGAAGCTTAACCACTAACGTAGGAAAACAAAGGAAAAAGAACCCAACACTGCCTGACACACCTTGAAAACTTAAAAGTTGCTAACTAAAATTTAACATCCAGATACTGCTATTTTGGAACCAGTAGTGGATCTAAGAGTATCTTTAAAGTGCTTACTGAATTAACCAGGTGCAAATACCTGCTTTTAACCAAGCATAAAGTTTGGCTGCACTACTCCAAACTTTAAAGTGTGCCACCCTTGTCTTACTTGGATTCAAACTTAACTATGTGTTTTCCACCTCCAAATTCATTTTGCCCATATTAGGGTAGTGACAAGTCTTCAATATTCAACATAATACTATGTTGGGGTTTTTTACACTAACAAAATAAAATGCTTTTGGTCAAATATATCCTTCATTTTTATGTTTTTTTATTTCCAATCAGCCAGCTGGCATATTCTACAAGCGGGATATCATTCACATCTAAACTGAGGGAAAACAAGCAAAATTTGTCCTTGGAAGAGCAATGCCTGGTTAATGAAAGAACCCTTGAAACAGAATGGTCAGATCTTTTTATTGTGTATGTGTGTTTGTGTGGGGCAGAGTAACTTTCTGTTTCAGATTCATTCAAGCTAACAAGACAAGGAATATACTCTCTGGGAAGAAGCCCTCCAAAACTGGCACCCTACAAGAAACTGACAGGTTAAAGGTTTAAAATTTAACATTTTAAGTATGAAATGTTTTAGTGTCTCCCTGGGAAATGTTCTTAAAGTAAAATGAAAGGCATGCTAAACAACTCATCCAGACTACCATAAACTTGCCCAAAAGTAAAAAATTTAGTAATTACTACTTATCTAAGAGCAATGAGAAAGTATGTAGAATCCTATTTGATTTTCCCTAATGAAATACTTTTCAAGGGAAATGTTCTTAATTTTTCTGCTGAGGCAAAAAATCAAAGGCTAATTCCTGCTAATCCTCATTCATAGAAACAATTTTTTCACATAAACATATGCTGCTGGCTCATGAAAGGTAGTCTACATGCCTAAGTGTTGACAAAATTAGATATACGGATTGCCAACCATTAGAAGTTAGGATACATGTAAGTGTCAGAATCCTGAAAAAAACAAAAAGTCCAGCAAACTTGCAGAAATTGGTGTTTACCTGAGTGTGGCTCCCTCTGTTTGTATCACATCTCCTTCTTTAAGATAAAAATATTTCTGACCTCCTTCTATTGTTTCTTCATTGTGAGGAACACGAGGGAGCTTACAGATGCGATATTCAGAGTCTATTTAAAGACAGCAAAGAAAATGATGCTTTGAATTTGTCACTAACAAAACTAATTCCATAGAAAGGTTACTTTTTGAAGACATGCTATGCATTATTACACAGTAGGAATACAAAACTAGAAACCAGAAATTCAGTACAGTAACTTTATGTTTATAAAGCAACCTTATGCCAGAGTCATAAACATTGAATAGTGAAAGCCGCTGCATATGAATAGTGTGCTCTGTACCAGCAGCAATTTTGAAGATGAAAAAGCACAAGTGAAATTAATAAAGAAATTACAATAATTATTTTACCAATGTTCCTTCTTGATTCATGAAAGGCCAAACATCACAAGTTTCTACACCACCACTAAGGTTCCTGCACTCATGTACTACATTATGGGTCACAGAAGCACCATTTAACATTTGCCTAACATTGGATGGAACCTTTTTGGCCTGCAACTTCCCTCAACGTCTGTTGTTGTGACTTGCGCATAATTTGAATGCCTGGGCTAGAACAGCTATGGATAGCAACTCAGAAAGATATTTATATCCCCTGCTAGTCTTTACAACCATATTCACAGGTTGAAAAGACCAAAATCCTCAAAAAGACACCAGTGTTTTTCTCAGTAGAGCCGAGGCTTCTTTGCAGGTAAGCACTTGGTAACCTTCCATGATCTGATAAAGCCTGTGACAAGGCTTGTGACAAAGTCCAATGATGCTAAGAAGAACTGCATTACCCATACTGCTTATTCTTTTCCCAGACACTAAAGCAGAAACGCCTCTTACTGTTTATCAACATGAAAAACACATTTTTACACCAGAATTAACCTGCAGACTTCCCTGCCCTCTTCCCTCTCCTGATCTGAGGCCTACAAACTTGTCAGCAACGACTAATGGTCTGCTGTAAGGACTCTCAAAACTATGCATGTTTCTTTTTCAGAGATTGAGTTATTTATTGTTTTTATACAAGGAAAAATAATGGTCAGTTTGTCATTACTGTCAATTTCAGAAGGAAAGAGTATCAAGCTTTTCTCACTTCATATCATCTAAACTGCTGATGGTAATCTAGGTTCTCATTATTCACACATTCACTGTGAGAGCATGCACAGCTATTGAAGAAAAACTGCAGTACAACAACTACAGTATTCAGACTATTCATTGGTCTTATCCTACACACTACATCAGTATAATGAAATTACATGCACTTTATATGGACATTCCAGAAAAATAATCCAGTTGATTTGCACAGAAGCACTCAGTAAAAGTTTTGGTTTTTCTTACCATCTATCTACCATTTTCAAGAGTATATGAAATCTCTGGCCTACCATTAGGGATGTTTTTGCAAATATCAGGTATTCCACCAGTGTGATCACGATGCCAGTGTGTCACTAAAATTTCTTGAATTGAGATGTTGAACTCTGACAGTGCCTGCTTTAAACAGCCAATATATTCCGGAATAGCTGGCTCCCCAGTGTCAATAAGGACTCTTCTACACTTGGAAAAGAAAAAGAAAAAAAAAAAAAGGAAAGAAAAAAAAGCCAGTGAGAGAATGCAATGCTCATGTGACAGTTACGTTGAAAAAAGAACACTGCATGGAAATATGGCAATAATGGACGCCTCCATATTCCAGGTGCCACCTCTTCCCTCCACGATAGTCTACCCCCGTGGCATAACAATTTACAAAGGGGGATAAATAACAAAATTGAATTCGCGCATTTGCAACTCCTACACAGGCGGCAGGCGTCGGGGAGCGGCGAGACTTGAGACGGGGCCTCCGCTCACTTCCCTCACTGAATTCCCCGCCTCAGCCTAACAGAGACTCCACACCCCACCTCCCCCAGCCGCCTCCGGGCACTGGTTCCGAAAACTTAAATGCTGTACTTTTAAAAAAAAAAAGTTGTTGTTTTCTTTTTTCCTTCTTTTCTCTAATCAAGGGGTTTCGGAACAGCCCGGTAGCCGCCTCTCGAGCTGGGGGCTCCAAACGGAGCGGGGAAAGGGGATTCCTCCGCCCCTGAGCAGGGTCGTTACCTGGACCCGGTGCCCACCAGGTAGGTGTTGGTGCCCTGCAGAGTCATGGGCCCGGGGTTGCAGCCCAGCACCCGTACCACCCGCGACGACAGTTGCTCAATGCGCGGCAGCAGCGACACCATCTTAACAGCTACCCCTCTCCCCACCCGACTCCACTCCCCTCACACCACCATCGAGGACACCGCCATCGAGGAGCGAAGACGGGAAGACGGAAACTGCTGTTTCCTTCGCTCCGCCTCCCGGTGCCGGTACCTTCCGCCCGGCTGTGAGGCGGCTCCGCTGCCCGCCCGTAGTGACGCGATGCTTCCGGGCCCAGGGCCATCGTCGGGTTTTCGCTTCAAACTCCAAGTCTAGGAAGAAACATTGTGGTAATTCCGTGGAATAAAGGCGATATTCTCCTTTGAGGTGTTGGTGCCCGGTGAGAAGCAGGTCTGGGCTCTGATGACAGAATCGTAGGATGGTAGGGATTGGAAGGGACCTCTGAAGATCACCTTGTCCAACCCCTTTGCTAGAGCAGGGTCAGCCAGAGATGATCACACAGGAACACGTCCAGGTGGGTTTTGAATGTATCCAGAGAAGGAGACTCCACAACCAATCCGGGCAACCTGTTCCAGTGCTCTGTTACTCTCACAGTAAAGAACTTTTTCCCTTATTTTTAAGTTGAACCTCCCATGTACTAGTTTGTGACCATTGCCCTTGTCCTGTCGCTGGGTACAACTGATGAGAGTCTGATCCCATCCTCCTGATGCCCACTCTTTAGATATTTATAAGCATTAGTGAGATCCCCCCTCAGTCTCCTCCAGGCTAAACAGACCCAGCTCTCTCAGCCTTTCCTCATATGGGAGATGCTCCAGTCCCCTTATCGTTTTAGTGGCTCATCTGATGGCTTCTTCCAAAAGCTGGGAGGAATTTGTGGTAGCAATGGCTGTATCTTCTGTAATATTCAGAGAACATGATTGCTTATGGCATCTATAGAAGCTATATATGCTTTTGTATGGCATATAGGAGCTGCCTAGGATTCAGTATTTTTAAGAAAACTGGGGAGCTACTGGAGAGAGTCCAGCAAACGGCCACTAAGATGATGAGTGGAGCATCTCACCTATGGGGAAAGGCTGAGAGTGCTGGAACTGTCGAGCCAGAAGAGAAGGCACAGGGACGTCTCATCAATGTCTATAAATACCTGAAAGGAGGGTGTCACAGAGCCATAGCCTCTGGTCACAGGGCCCAGTGACAGGACCAGAGGCAATGGGCACAAACCGAAACACAGGAGGTTTCCTCTAAACATCAGGAAACACTTTTTCACTGTGAGGGTGACTGAGTGCTGGCACAGGTTGCCCAGGGAGGTTGCAGAGTCTCCAAACCTGGAGATACTCAAAAGCTGTCTGGACATGGTCCTGGGCAGTCTGCTGTAGGTAGCCCTGCTTGACCAGGGGGTTTGGACCAGGCAACCTCCAGAGTTCCTTCCCACCTCCACTGTTCTGTGATTGCGAAATTTTGTCACTGTTATCCAAGCAGTAACACTGTGCTTGCAAACAGCATTCATTCTAGTGCCTGCAAGGTGCTGAAATACACCTGTTTGGCTTGAGATAGAAATCCATTACATTTATTTTTTATGTTCAAGCTCATCAAAGCATGAACTACAGACAACAGAAAGTATGTTTCAAGTCAAAAGAAAGAAGCCTTTCTGTGTGCAGATAAGCTGCTGAAGTAAGCAGGACATCCCTATACATAATACATAATATCCCAGCCTCTTTCTATATAATTTTCATGTATACTATTTTATAAGAAACTGTGACTGGACCTGAAGTTACCTAATTGTGAGGTCCCCTATTGTACTGATTTTATAGCACACGTCTATACCTATTTGGTGGTACGTTCAACCCATTCTCAGACCCCAGATAAAATTTAGTTGCTGTGTTGTTAGAAGAAGGAGCTACCTTGCAACTTGTGTAGTTCAGTAGCTTCCTATTTCTAAGAAGATTCTGAATGTTTAGAGAAGGTTTCTGAAATTATTTACATGAAGTTTTTACATGTCATTAATAACTCAGAAGTAGTAAGGTGCCAGATATTTTTAACATAACAATTATTTTTTCTAAATTAAGAACTGTTTGGGGAACTGTAGGCTTGTTCTCCGAGGAATACTTATTACTGTTACAGTCCTGTAGTGCAAGAATACGTTTCCTAATATGAGGCAGGAGCTGTGAATCTGTTTTGTCTGTAGATGGCAGCAGTGGGTGCCTTTGGAGCATGAAGTGAGGGTTCTTCTGTCATCTTCAGCTCCTGCACAGGCCCATCAGTTTAAAAAGTCTGTTATTTCTTTTACAATGCAGGGTTTAATAGGCACGTAGTGAAAGTCTTGCTATTACACTCCCTAATGTGGTACAAGCAAATATGAGTGTATACCCTCAAATTCTTTTGGTTCATTGATTGTTTTATGTTGTTAAGACTAAATTTTGAGGGGAAAAGTATTCTGAAGCAGTGAATGTTAGACTACCAGTAAAAAAACCCAAACCAAACCAAACCAACACCCTGTCAAAAAATACTACCTGAGCTTCAATAAACCTAAAGTGAGATTGTTGGTGATCTACAATGTGATATTTGATGGAGGATTAATTTTCTACAACTGAAACACATGAAATGCAATTTGGAATTTTTGAAAATCCCACTGTGGCCTAAGATCTAAGCACTACCATGTAATTCAGTGATAATTAGACAGAATAAATTGAATAGTAGATAGAAAATCTCTTGAGATACTTGTCTTCGTAGACATTGCTACATGAAAGTCTTGTTGACAGGATTTTTGGTGAGTAGGTTTTTATGTTATTTTAATACAATTCCTGCTACTATTTACAAAACATATTTTAAACAAGATATACATGCATTTCTTGGTACTTGCAGAATTGTTATTATTATGGTTTTATGCTTGTTACCTGGTACAGAGATAACTGAGGAGACCTTAACCAAAAGAAGTGAAGCAGATTTTACAGAGGGAACATAGGCTGCAAGATTCCTACCTTAAGAGGTAGAAAATTTGTGTAGAAAATGTAGAAAGCCAGATCAGGTGGTTTGTAAGAGAACATTAGCAGAGATGATGAAGGGACTGGAGCATCTCTTCTGTTACGAAAGGCTGAGAGAGCTGAGACTTTCCAGTCTGGAGAAGAGAAGGCTCAGGAGGATCTCATCAATGTCTAAAGGGAGGATGGAGCCAGGCTCTTTCCTGCCTCAGCCAGGAGGTTCCCTTTGAACACCAGGAACCACTTCTTCAGTGTGGGGGTGACCAAGCACTGACACAGGCTGGCCAGAGAGGTTGTAGAGTCTCCCTCAAAAGCAGTCTGGACACAGCTCTGGTCAGCCTGCTGTAGGTGGCCCTGCTTGAGCATCGAGGTTGGACCAGGTGGCCTCCAGATGTCCTGTTCAACATCAGCTGTTCTGTGACTTTATGAGGTTATCCTAAAAATCTGTATGTTAATGCTGCTCAGAGCATAAATACTCCATGTGAGTTCAACTTTTGGGTTCACTGAACAGGTGATCAGGGGTTCTGCTGTGGCAGGGTACCAAGTAGCAGTGGTGGTAGAAAACTGCTGACAGCTTGTACAAGTATATTGGAGTAATTAATGAAGAAACAGGGGAAGCTATTACACTGAGGTAAAGTCATTGGCCATGACACTCCTTCAAGCCATGCATTTTCTTCTGTATTTTCCATAAATAACAATGGTAAAAACATTACTTGACTGCAAAGTTAAGTATCAAATTTAAAGAGAGAATTACACAATGAATCTTCAAAAATCCTGGGGTTTTTCAGGTCGGAATTTCATCCTGTTTATTTCTATGCTAGTTACAGTGAGGACCTTAATTTCCAGTGTCTGGAATAAGTCGACTGTTCCAGAGATAAAATATCCAATGTCCTGTTAACACTAATCAAAGCAAAGAAAAAAGGTCGTCCCTACTCTATTTGGAAACAAATAGCAAGTTTTGTACCGAATACTGTAGAAGTTTTGTCACAATTTAGAGAAGTGCTTTCTTTGATGGCAAGTCTAACTAGAAAGCGAATAAATCATCCATCTAGTAATTTAGTTCATGATCTGCTTGATTTACAGTCCAATAATCAGATACACAAACCTTGTCTCTCTCTCTCTCTGTGCTATAGAGTTTTTGTCATTTTTTAATAATAACAAAGATCACCGCAATGGGTTTGTGACTTGGCCGATTAAGATGCTTCCCTTGAAGTTGCAGAGGCTTAGTCACTATTTGGGCAAATAGCTTGCAAAGCCTTTTACAAATTTAAAAAAGCTGTTCTTGCAGTCTCATCCACTGGGGTCCCAGTGAAGTGAAGGTTGTGAAGAACCAGTGGTCCAGTCCATTCAAGTGAAACAATCAAGTCAGAGGAATACAAGACAGGATGGGCATGTTGCATCCCTTTTTTTTCTCTCAGCAAGATTACAAAGGTTTATGCTGGTATAAACCATTCAGTTTGCTGCAAAACCACATAGTAACTTAGTCCAATGTCGAAAGAAATATTCTCCACAAAAGCTGTATTCTAACACAGTACTTCTATGCATTTGATCATTTATAGGATAGAATGGGTATCACCATAATTGCTGAGCTGCCTCTGTGCTGAAGTCACTGGGATCTTATTGTGGAGCAATATACAACTACATTTTCAATTAGTGCATTCATGATGCTCACAGCTATTATGAAGAGCTTGTTGGGCATGCACGTAGTAGGTCTGTTTTCTTTGAATCATCACTGAGATGACTCCGCAGAGGCAGAAAGGTCTCTGATGCATTTATCCAGAAGGCAGTTATGGATAATGCACTGCCCCACTGATGTTCTAAGGTGTTTTCCTGATGTGGTTTCTTGCAGGAATGAATCATGTGCAATTGAACCACGATTTTTGCAGTTCTGCTTTGGATTCAGACACAGGTTTTTTTAGCTGTGGAAAATTAACTTGATCTGTCAATTGTGTTCTTCAAGCAATGACATGAAAACAATGGTACTTGCAAGAACTGCTTAGGACTAGGATGTTTCTAACCTGTAAGTGGGGAAGGAGTACAAGAAAAAGCAAGCACAGATATTATGTCCCCTATGAAGACAGCAGTAGGATTGTATCTCCCGTCCTAAAAGCTAGAAAAGCTATAGACTGCTCTGGCTGTGGGTATGCATCACCCTCTGCAGCATGGTCATAGAAGCTGAACCACAAGACCTGCTCCTTGTAACCTGCAGCTCTTTTAACCATGCTCTGGATTTTCTCAGCAGCATAAAAAATGTGCATTGAGTCCTGATAGCTCAGCTGGAGCAGACTCTTGGAAACACCTGTAGTTTTACTGGAGAAAAACAGTTTTAATCATTTATCCCTCAACACCTGCAGTCTCTTCATTTTCATTGCACAAGAAAAGCCTTTGGTACAGATTTTGAAGTGTGTTGTACTACAGTTTTCAACTACAGACAAAAACATTGATCTTTTTCCATAAATCTTTGAGATACATACATGTGTGTACAAATAAATAAATGAACATATATAAACAAACATATACCTAAAGACACACATATACACACATATTTTTCCGTAACTATCTATTGGCTTTTGCTCAACAGGTCTAACAAACTCAAGTCTAAGTTTGTACATGCATACATAGGTATGTGCACATACAGATGGAAAGTGGTACCTTCTTTTTTCACTTTTACGGAGTAAAGTGTGAAATTAATTTTTTGAAGGCAATTTTGTAATATATTGAACTTACTATTAGATATAGACAGGAACTTCTAAGCAGAATTTGTAGTTTTTATAATATATTCATAAGAATGACAGTTTTTCTAATATATTCATAAGTTTTTATAATATATTCATAAGAATAACAGTTCTTGACAGGTAGCAAATCATTAACTGTGTCACATGGTTTCCATATGATTTTAGTTTCAGTTTGTGTTATATCAGTAAGCCCTTTAACATTCCTTGTATTGCAAGTCTTGTAAAGATATGGATGAGAAATCTGCAAATATGCAAATCTACTATTTTAAAAGTGAAAAATCTATATCCATGGCCAGTAGTAAGGTAAGTCTTCATTTTGTAATATCTTTTTAAATATATTGTGAGAACTGAAGGCCTTGCTAATCACGTTTTAATGTTTCTGCTTTAAAACAATATTATTCTGTAAGAGTATGTTAGTTTTTAGAGCAGGCTTATATTTATGTTGGCTGACAGACACTGTACTCTCCTTGCTCCTGTCATGTTAGAGCTCATAAGTTTAATAAGACCAGGGAAAATATAATTCTGAGTGATATAAGTTACTCTTTCTCCTGTGGCACTGAATTGTACCTCCCTCCCGGTACATGAAACCATGGTGCTATCATGCACAAAATATAGAGGATATTAAGGGCCAAGATCTTCGCCAGAAATTTCATGTGCATCTGTGAGCAGGCACTTGTGCTTGTGCTTTGAATTAAGACATTGGACATTCGGGAATACAGATCTGTGAATTCTGATAGGTGGGGGTTTTTTAGGTTAGCATGTGCAAAATGTAAACCCTGTGCTTTACCAGCCATTCCAAGGCTCTTTCAAGACTAGATTCCTTGTTCAAGATAATTGTGAGACTATGAGCAAACTAAAATGCTTGATAATATGTGGCTCCTCATTTTTCTCAGCTTACCTGATGGCTTCGTCTACCACCAAGCTGTCCAGACAGGTCTGCAGACTGCCGGCATGGCAGCAGTTTGGACAATATGAGTGTCAGAAGCAGAAACCACCTGGCTCACAGCTACAATTCATGCTGTTGTTTCAGAGAAGTCTGGACATAGCCTGTAAAGCTTCCTTTCCTATTAGGAATAGTACAATAGTGAGATAACTCCTCTTTGTGAAGTGCTCAGATACAAAATGATAGGGAGGTTGTGAAGAGGGAGCAATCCAGTTACCCTATTTATTAATTTCAAAATTACAAAGTTAGGTACAAAAAGGTACAAAATTCTGGGCTACTCTTTGCGACCCGAATGTCTAGTACAGAATTACTCATTAAATGTGAACCTTGTTATGCTGTCTACTTTGGCCATAAAGTGCCTATCCAAAGAAATTTCTGTTGGGATCCAGTTATTTATTGACTTACCTTTTACTGTTGTGTTTCCTGCAACAGTCATACAGTGAACCTGTTCAGGTTTTTTGGTTTTGCTTTTGAATCTACTCTATAAACCATGCATAATGATCTTGTCACAAAAAAGTGATACAACTTGACGAAGGTGGTATATCAAGTTGAAGAATGACATGGTGCTTTTATACAAAGTAAATACAGTTTCCTTTGGAATTTTTTTTTAATGAATCCTAGTAATAAACTCTTGGTTCGTACACATGTTTTCAAATATGAAACATTTGTAAACACAGAGTTCAGTTTATGGTGGACTTTGTAGCAAAGTCCACTTCCTCGAATCTGATTGTGAATTGGATATAAATTGCATTGGTGATTTGAAAGAGATTAGTAGTCTTTTATTGGAGAGAACAGGAAAGAACAGTGAAGCAATTTCAGCTATCTCAGCTGTAAGATCATCTGATCTTTCTGACCTCTTCTGGGTCAGGACATGAAATCAAAGTAGGTGATACAACAAGATGCTAGAAATAGCTAAGGCATAGATCAAAACCAATGTTTAGACATCCAACACCTTTTTAGACTGTTATGTTCTCACTTGTCTTCACGAGGAAATTAAGAGCCTAAGTTCTCTTTTTTGGATTTTCACCTGGGTCACAGCATACAGCCCAATCAACACAAGTGAAGAACAGACATTACCTTCCAAAAGCTTTGTTCATGGGATATTAACTGATTATCTCATTTCATTCCTCTGTGGCAGCATGCCTAAATTCACAAGAATCCAAAGGAGACCTGCCTCCACACACCCTTCCCCTGCCTGAGTTCCTCAGTGCAGCTGTTCCCTGTGTATTGGCTGCACCTGTTTGGCGGTGGCACCAGCCCAAGCCTGGTGCTTTGGCATGTCCTGCACCCCGTCCTATGGGATTGCTGGCAGCAGCTTTTTCCTGAGACATGCAAATGAAGTAAGCGAACATGTAATTTTAATGTTTATAGCTTTGTGGAAGTGAAAATGAATGAGACAAAGAATGTACTGCCTTATAGCTTTTCTGTTTCACTCAACATTTACCAGAGATCTACAGAGGAAAAATATGTAAGGACTTCTCAGAGGTCACAAAAATCCTTGCGGTGTTAGGCAATGTAAACATAGTTTGGACTGCAAATTACTTCTGCATTAATTAATTGATGTAGTAGACAATGTGGTTAGGTCATCTGTGAGTAGCTACTACACAAACGGCTCGGGAGACACTTCCAAAGAGGAGTAGACTGGTGCAGGTCTGGCTCCCTACAAGTCTCTGTAACAGGAGAGCTGCAATCCTATTTAGCACATTCTTGCTGCATAAGGAAAAACAAGTAGAAATGATAAAACCACTAAGTGTATGCACACAAATGCAGTAACATGGTTGGAAATGACATGATGATGTGTACTCTGATATGATGGTGTGTACTCAAGACAGGAGTTTTCTCAGTGCTTTGTGCTGTGCACAGTAAGGAAGAACAGCTCAGAAGTTGAGAAAGTTCTGGAAGGGATTAATTTTTTTTTTTCCCCATAAACTCGTTTTAAAAACTAGTAGCGGTAGGCTTGTTTCTTAGTATTCTGTGACTATTAGGAATTATCTCAAGGGGAGAGTCACTGTGGTTGAGATAGTGGGTGACTGCAGTTTCAGAGGTGCAGCTTCTCTTGAGCTGATTGTTCACAGATACCTCAGTATATTCTGCATTTTGTACATCCTTGTTTAAATGGTCATGTGAATTGCTGTATGATACTTTAAAATAAAGTATTTCTACTGCTGATTTTCCTCTTTTCTTCTTTTTAGGAAGCAGTAATGAAGAACAACTCCTCCAATTAAAAAGACAATTTACATTTATTTTTTCCAGAATATTCATGTAGCAGTGTAGTTAATTTAATATTGAAATCAACAATCCAGAATAATGCAAGTCCCTTTGCCACAATCAAAATGCATAATCCAACTTTCCTTTGTGTAAAGCATTATAAGCAGGTGCTATCATCAGGAAAAAGACTCTGTTATAGGAAAGCTTTTAGATTAATTCTGACTTTCCTTTACATGAAGTGAGGAGAGAATGACAACAGTGACAGTCTAATGCATGATGAAATTTACTAAGTGGAATTTTATTTTTTTAGTTGGTGGAATTATAATTTACGTAGTTGATATTGGAGTGGATTTCTGGGTAGCTAGTAAATATTTCTGTCAAGGACAATATTGTCTGGGTATATTGATACTGTGTTTTAGAGGTCTTTCATCATTAATAACTCAGATATTCAGTTACGAGTGGTTTAAAAATGACTGGGAAGGTACTGTTACTGGGAAGCTGAACTGGATTTTTCTAGTTCATCTCTTTCAGTGCGGAATTTTTATAAGGTAAGCACATTTTAAAATTTATTTTGAAATGAGAAGTCATATTGCTTTATGACAGTTTATTGAGGAACGCTTCAGATGGCTTCAGGGGCAAAACCACTTCTGGCCTTGGCAGTTATTGCTCCATGCAAGTAAATTGATTTTTGTCTGCGTATGCCAGGGGAAAATTATGTGAGGTTTTGATGAAAATGTAGATCTTCTTTCATTTTACCTGTAAGTAATAATTTTTGTCATTCACAGCCTAACTCTATTTGATTCATCAGCCTTTTGATAGGGCATATTGAATAAAAATGCTTGCTTTACAGAGTAACACTCTTGTAACTGATAAATGTAAGTTTTTAAAGTGATGTTAAGAGGGGAATTCATTTGATTACACTAAGCAGGTGAGACAGCTAAAGTAAGAGGTAATTTTTGAACCTGAGAGTCTAACCATATCTAGAAAAAACTCCAAAATTTGGAAGAGAAATGAATAGTTGAATAAGAGTACTTGCAGCAGTACTTCCTGCAAGGACTGAGTTAATGGTGACAGGAACCTTTGTTTACTGAAAGGCACATGTACAGGAATAGTTTAAGGTACCAGATGCTTAACATTCTGTGGTGGCTTTGCTATAAAATTATCATTATCATTATAGAGATCATTCGTACCAGGATTTTACTTTGATTTTAAAAATAAGGTGAAAGATGTTGGCAAAAAGTTCCGAATTTTAATTATTTTGAGTATGCGACGTGCAAGAAACTTGAGTGAATATAGACTTATTGGAGGGACTTAATAAAATACTTATTTAAAATACCTCCTTTACCTCCTGTATTGATCTTTGGACAGACAAGAAAGACACATTTAGATCAGCATAAAAATTTCTCTCACACGCATGCTTTATTCGCTTGATGTTATCATGGATTAAGGAAAATGACGGAGTTTACATGTCACAATTAACTTTTGCCTCTCAATGTTCTTCTTCCTTTGTCTTTTTTCTGTTCCTCCTCCTTTTACAATCCTGAAGTTGTAGACTTCACAGAGGAATATTTACTGACATGTTTAACTTTGCTGGTGTCAGGTATTAGAAGAACTTCGAATACTACATTTTGAAGAAAAAGAAAATCCCTCTTCAATTTCTCTGGATGGTTTCTTATTCACTAACCAGGTCCATGGACGTGGGTTGGTTCTTGTGAGATTTACCAAGACCTGGCCACAAGGACTCCCCCAGGTTCTGCCTTTTAGAGGGGATGTCTCAGGGGCCACTGTGTCACTCTCCTTTTTGTCTGTCCTCAAGGCTTTACATCTTCAGGTGTGGCTGGGAGTGCCATTCTTGTGCTTGTGACTTACAAACCTGACGCCCCGAGTTTGTTTCTTTCCAGGTAAATAAAAGGCATGATGTCATTTTTGGATAATTGGTGGTAAATTTTAAACCAGTAACCACAGTGTAGAATGTCAGAAATGCTCTTTCAATGTCTGGCTGAAAACCTTTCTTCTTCCCCTTTCTCTTCCATGATCTCACTCTTTGTAATCACTTCAGGACTGTAATTCAAGTTTCACCTTTGGCTTCATTTTACACTCCCAGGTTGCCCCTAAAATTTCCCGCTGATTAGTGCCTATCTCTTAAAAAACACCTTTCAACACAGACTTTCAGAATTCAGATCTCAGCTCCAATTGTTTACAACTCTAGATACTGTAGTCTTGACTTAGCACTTGTGTCTGTTCAAAATGGTGATTTTATGGACAAATTTTCATGGATTACCTTAACTTCAAAGAATCCATGAAACATCAAGATTTTCCTTGACCCATACCCTTAACAATGAATACCTCTTACTGTGAATTCCTATGATTTTCAAAGCTTCATTTCCACAACTAGCTGTATCTTCTCTAAGCTTCTTATTATCCAGCAAATACTACTCTGCCCTTTGTACTGACAGCGTTGTCAACTTGGCCACCTGTTCTCTATTGGACAAATGATATTATCTTCTATGCTGCCACTTATGCTTGGAAAAAGTTTCCAAGTTGATATGTATAAATTACAAAGTTCTTTCAGCCACTCCTCAAAATTCAGTGGTGTCATAATGCGTACTGTAAAGTATAAGCTGATAACAGCAAGCTGACATCTGTTCTTGTACCTTTGCGATCAACTATTAAATACTTCCTATTATATGTTTTCTTTTCATGTACAACTCCCTCCTGTCCTCCCTCTTAGTCATCTGATTTATCCAGTTAATTTAGACAATGAGTCTATCAGGTATCTCTAAAGTCAATGGATAAAAAACAGAGTTTGTCAGGAGTCAGATCATACTTGTTAAGGTGAGCTTCTCCAGAAAGTCATTTGAGGCAGGAACCTATGTTTTCCATTCACCACAGAGGAAAATGGGGGCCTAGCCAGTAAATATGGGAACGTAGGATGCCTGAAATTACAAGGTGTGACTACACCTTGCAAGATTATCTTCCTTCATTTCTTCTTTTCCTTCTTCCCTCTCTCATGTCTTTTACACCTCTTGCTCCATCTTTGAAATAGGGAGCTGCGCTGTGTTATGTTTGTACAGTGCACAGGACCATAGGAAGCAGTCTGGTTATGTTATCACACAACCAATGCTAAGTAATAAATACGGAAATCATATGTGTGTATGCACTTATGTACCTATATACGTATGTTAAAAATAGAAAGAAAAGGAAATTAAAATTGTTTCATATCTAATAAGTCTTTAGTATATTTTAATGGAAAGAATGCAGACCTGGAATTACTCTTCATATGAAATGTCATATTCTCTGCAAGGAGACAAAATTAAGTTGGTAAAGTATATATTAGCGATGCTAACTAAAATTATTTTCAGCCCAACTCTTTTAAATGGGTCACACAGATGTTGGTAGAATTGAGAACAGACTGTGGCACAACAGTGAAAATTAAGACAATAACACAGTCAGTGAATGTGGAAAAAGAGGACGTTTCCCTAGGGCACGATATGGATTCTGGAGTCCGCTGATGTGTAGCAGTTTGCAGCATCGGTCAAGAACACCTGAGGGAGACTAAATTTCAGCAATTAATAACCTTCACTGTCAGAAGAGAAGGCCATACAGACAGCAGCCATTGTGAAAATGGCAGCTGCTGTTGTGTCTCTTGGTGCATAAAGGGAGGCTCAAGATGTTCTGCGTCTTTGAACAGGAACAAATGTAAAAGTTTTTTTCTGTATTTGTAAAGATTAATTCTAAATCCATGAGACATCAGAGTAAATGTGAGTACTTTGCTGAATCTGGGATTATTTCATTATATGTTTTTAAAAGACAATGAGAAAAAAATCAGCCAAGATAGAAAATGTTCAATTTATACCAGTACAGACTTAAGACCTGGTAGGTCCCACCCAAAGAATGGATCAAAAATGAGGACTGAAGCCGGTAACATGCCTATAGCAATTTATGTGTATGACAAGAAGTTTCACAGGACAAAATAAATAGAAAGGTACTTAAGATATCAAGTCATGAGATACAGAGATTGAATTAAAATGGAAGGTTTGTAATGCTACTTTAAGTGAGTTAGAGGTTACATAATATGTACTTGATCACATTTTCTTAATATAAGTAGTTTACTGACCTAAGTACTGACTTTGTTGCATCAGTTTCATGGACTCAATCCAAACCTTTCAACACTTAGAAGATTAAGTTTAACATGCAGTAGAGAATAATTTTCCTTTGATTAAGGATGTATATGATGCTGCAAATTGACCGCATGACCAGAATTTAGACAGAACCATTATTGCCAGGTCTTTCACACCCTGCCTGCGTGAATTTCTAAACAGCACCCAAATCTTTATCAGTGTAGTTTGATGGGATGGGATTTATAGTTTGGGACTGGGATTGCAGTGGAAGTCTGAGGGTAAGCAGGTGACATATGAAATGATGAGGAAAATGTAGGAGCACCTCAAGAACAATGAGGCAGCAGAGCTGTGTTTAAATGAACATTTATAACAGGTAGGAGTCCTATCATCTGTGTTTTCCACAAAGCAATGCTAAAAGGCAGAAACCCTTTTTTTCCGGTGGTAAATGGCAACCCTGCGTTTGTCTGTATTAATGTCTCACTACCCATACCCATTTCACCTTCAGTTTAAGATGCACCGCTACTTAAAATATATAACCAATCCAATACTTTTAATTAATGTATTTTTTACTTCAGTTGAAGTAGCTTTTAAAAAGTTTTTTTGTTTTTTTTTTTTCCCAGTTTATGAAGACTGAAACACAGAGCTGCTCTGGCAATAGATACATTAATACAGAAATATAATTACAGTAGGTTCAGATCAGGCACAGTGTTTGGGTAAGCCATGGACTCGATAAAACGGAAAATTTGAGCCTGGCCTATCCCTTAGTACAGACTTAATTTTGCCCTTGCTTGTGAGTGCAATTGCCTAACACAAAGCCTAAAAGTTGGCTACAGGTCCTTCTTAAAATGTCCTAATATTACATGCCAAATGGGCAGGTGGGAATGGGAGTGTAAATTCAAAATACTTTTAAAAGATGAAAGATTTGTCACAACAAACTACAGTAAGTGACCATAGGCATGTGCAGCTCAGGGAATGCCACTTAGCTTAATACATAGACAAAGAGCAATTGAAGTATTTGGACTTCTCTAGGAAAAAACCCAACAATGTATTTTATACAGTATTTAAAATAAGAGGTGGACTAACTGAAATAGCTATAACTAGAGAAAAATACTATAGCATACCATCTTATAACACTATAAACCTATTATGCTATACTCAGTTTAGAAGGAATACGTTTCTGAAAACTGACTTGTGATTTCAGGTGTGCATCCAACTGGAATATTCCTCTTACAACAGGTTTGGTGTTTTCCTTGCGTACCATCTGCCTTCTCAGCTGTGTCCTCTGCAGCTCGAAATTCATGCAGCTGGTTTCCACTTCTTGCTTGTTGGACAAACACAGGCTTTGGTGAATGAGTCCGTGGATGGTTAACAGATTAGTTACTCACTCAATTGTTTTTTCTTGAAAACATTGCAAACCTTGCAGATATTTACATCTTGGATGCAAGGACCAGATGTTTTAGAATCCTAATTGCTTTATAAACTGAAAAAGTTACAGATGCCTTGCCAAACAGTTCAGTTCTTTGCTTATGAGAGATTAGTCAGAGAACAGTAAGATAAATACACAAAACATAAAAATAGGAAAGAGTTTCCTTTGGAAGTAAATAACGGATCTCGAGCCAGCTCACAGAACCAGTGTATGGCCTGAATGGGCTGCAGGCTATGAATCTCTGTAAGGAGAAGAGCAAAGGATCTTCCCCTAAGGCTCCCACTACTGATGCTTTCGGGTTGCAATTCTCACTTGTATGCTGGATGTGCTTTAACATACCAGGGAATAAGCCATGATTCCTCTAGCATGGACTTAACCCAGGACCTGCAAATCCCATTTCTCTTGCTTGTGGTTGTGGAATAACCCCTGACACTGTCCCCCACTGTGGTCAAAGGATTTAGTCTTTTAAGTTGGTGAAGGTTTTAAACTTTTAACACCTGGAGGGGTCAGGATTTCCTCCTAGCTCCTTTTCTAAGCAGAAGGGGACTGTGTTCCAATGTCATTTGGGATGAGATCTGTGTGGCTAATGATCTGCTGCCCCCTGTTTTCTATGTAAAGGAAATGCAACTGCATGGGTTTCATGGAATCTGCACTGTATATGATCACATGTATGATGAGGGAATTGAGAACCTGTTGCACTTGAATCACAGCATGAATCTTGAAATCATCTCAGATGCAGCCTTAGGGAATGGAAGTAGGAAGCAGCCTAAGGCACAGGACCTTGCTTTTCTCAGCCTGCACATTTAGCAAGCTTGTACAGCTGTGTAAGATAACCCAGTGATGGTCTGCTGTGTTCCTGCTTCATTTCTCGAGAAAATAGATCTGAATGAATGATGTAATTCTCATAATTCACAAAATTCTTCTGTTGAGGGGTAAGGCCTTTAGCAATATTTCTAATGCTTGAAAAATTGGATGAATAACTGAAGTGAATTTTCTTGAAAAACGACTGCTTTTGCTGTCCTAGCCTGCCAGTTACAGTTGAAATGTGTTCATTGGAGAAGAATATTGGAAGTTTGAGACATCTGGGAACCGAATATTCAGAAATAGGCTTGAAGGTGGTGGCTGAAAGCTGTTACACTCAAAATCCTGTTTATAGCCAAACACAAAGGATTTATATACCTATAAAACCAAGAACTTATTTTTCGTATAAGTGAAATTGTAACAGTTGATTCCAAGAATCGTTATTAGTCTAGATATACTTATTACAGGAAAAGAAACAAAACTTCTATGCATGAAAAGTTTTAGTAGTAATAATACTGTTAAAACTGTTACACACAGTACCTGGGTCTTAAGGTCAGCAGTTTCGTTCTGGTGCATGGGTGAGTGTTACAGATGTTACCTGTGTCTGAAGTCCTGCTGGGAGGAACATGATGTTTGTGTTGATGGCTGCTTCTTCATTCTTAGGATCCCCTTTGGGTTTTTTTTGTATGTTTGCTAACACACTTTTAGACTTTGCTTTCTCTTACTTTCCCTTACTTTCTCTGCAGCTTCATGTTACATCCAAACTCAGCATCGGTCATGCCTTTTATGCATGTTAGATACTATTTCTTTGTTCTCTTTGTCACCTCTAAAATTAGTTTCATCCAGCTCCAAGTCTTCATTTCTATAACTGACCATTGGTGAGTTGTTTACAGCCATGGAGTCTCCAGTGTCAAGCCATCCCTTATCATCCTATGCACTTCCATACTCTATCCTGTGTATCTCAGGACCTCTGCTATCATATCAGGATTATAATTCTCTATACTACATCATGTCTGTTATAAATATCTCATTCAATACAGAATATCTGCTTGCTACTGTTATCTATATAAAACTACGGCTGTACCACACAGAAATGAACAGAAGTAAAACAAATTAGCCACATAAGATTCACATGCATACTTATGAGGTTACTTCTCTCTGCTTTGACTTAACTAGTTCCTAAAAAGTAATCTTTACTGCTGAACAGCTCATCTGGAAAGACGTCTTTAGTTGTGAAAACTCCTTCTTCTGGAATTGCCCCTTTTAGTCTATTATAGAAAGAAGCAATACCTACCTCCTATGCCTCCAAAGCACTAGTGCAATGAGTCAGATCATTCTCCAGGACTATATGTGTGTGTGAGTCAATTAGGGACAGTGGAAATACTATAATTTCCAGGAACTGGAGCTTTGGTCCTACATCAGGTTGTAGCCACCATCTTGTTTTCTCAAACAGAGCTGTAAAGATTACTATATACAATAGCTAGTTCTTCTCTTAATTATCAACATGATTTTTTGATTAAAACTTAAGCCTTCTCTCCCCTTTGAGGTGCTATGTCCACCTCCAGACCTGAAAGAAAGGTCTTGAAAATGGGAATAAGTGTAAGGTTTTATTTATTTCTAAGCAAAACATTGGAGATATTCTGAACAGAAAAAGTTCTTTACCACACAGAATCACAACCATTTGTCACTAATTCCATGTATCTTTGCATTTACTGCTCTTTCAGAGGAAATGGTCATTTAGGCTTAATTGAAAATGAACCAGAACTGTACTAAAAGTAATTTAGGCACATCCATTTGACAAGGCAAATGGCCTGCAAGAGACTGAAATGGGAAAAATCGTTGTTAGACTATAGCATTTTATTGAGTTTCACTTTTAAAAAACACTGTCTAACCTAGTCTCCTTTTTTTAATAGGTATTGGTTTGCTTTGAAGTATGGCCGCCAAGCTGCATTTAAACAAAACAGCAGCAGAAATGCATCAGAAACAGACCTTCTCAACTTCATTCAAAGACAAGCCATTGCTGTAGTGACTGATATTAACATGCTCAGGGTGTTCAAGACTTTTCTTGAGACCACACCACAGCTTTTTGTCCAGATTTACATCCTCATGGAACATGAAAAAAAACATCTCTATCAATGTGAGTCTGCCTTTTTTCTTAATTTGCAAGTTCAGTATCTTACCTAAAAAGATAACTCATGTGACTGGACAACATTTTAAACATACCTTGGAAAACATACACTCCACTGTATAATTACACTGCATTTAGTTAGAATTTCTGTCTAGTAGATGGTTTGTTCTGTTAAATCCGTGAGAAGGAAGATTTTACTACAATAAATCAGAATATGTAATAGAAACATAATGATATCTCATATGAAAATAAGCTATTGAATACAATTAGTATATAATTTACAGAGCAATTTGTTTTGTGTGTTTTTGTTGTCAGTTTCTTTTAAAACTGTTAACTGGGCATCTTAAAATCAGTAATGTATTTAGAGCAGTCCTGTGAGCTGTCACTACCATCATCTCCATGTTACACAATAGATGAGGGGCCGAGTCAAAAAATCCCTAAGGACTTAGCAGCATTGCAGAATGAAATATGATGAAGAGATACCGGCTCAGCTCTTGGAAGCAAGACAGCAGTTGTACCATTTCCAGCTCTAAAACTAGCAGCATTATTGGCAAGACATTGACTTACTCAGGGTAGGAATTTATCTCACCAAATGGAGAGACCTGCACTGCTGTCTAGTGCTCCTTCGTAGTCCATGGGGTCAACAGGTATTCAGACAAAATGGTCAGATGACTCTCAACTTAAATATGGCCATATGAGGGGTTAAGTCTCAATTATAGATTTTATAGACATCCCAGAGTCAATATCAGTTGCTGAAACTTGTGGGCTATTTGCAATATTTTGGGAATTTCTAAGTCGTCTGTGCACGGAGATGGCAAATATGAACACAACTTAGGTGAGACTATGGACAGCCAGAGGCTAGGCAGGATAATGCAGGTATCCCACACAGCATCAGATGCCTAGATTTAGATAACTAAACTAAGCTTTAAAATTAAGGTAACCTGTTCAGGAGCACAGAGGAAATATAAAATTTATATAAATAAAGTATTAAGAAAGCATGCACTTGTCCAAAAGTTCATTCAGAAATTCTAATGTAAAATAAGTATCTTTTTCTTAGGCTTAACATTTATCCCTGTGTTTTGTTTAGATGCTGCCATTTTTATGTCTTTTTGGGGTATCTCCATTTCAACGGTTGATTATCAGACATCATTACGAAAATCTCTGCCTGATAAAGATGAATTTCAGAGGCTTCCCCAGTTAGTGTATCTCTTCTATAAACTGCTTACCATCACTTCTTGGATTATCAGTATTTCACTGATCACTCATCTAAGTGCTATAAGCTCTGGAATTCTGGTGATATTTCTTTGGATCTGTGGCTTTACCTGGACTTTGACACAACATACGGCATTTTGCAAATCTAAGAAAATGGAATATCTCTACAGAGCTGTTGTTGGAATCATTCTAATTTTTACCTTTTTTAACATAAAGGGGAGAAAATCCAAAGTTTTCATTTCTATTTATTATGCTACTCACACTGTTGTAACTCTAGTTATTTTGTCTGTATACATGTTTCAGAAACCACCTATTATCAGGGAAATACATTTTACAATTGTGAGCATCTTAACTGTTCTTAGTCTGGTGCTAGGTAATATTTTTCTTGTTGTCTATTATAGGTGTTTTCATCCCACTGTTTATTGCAGAGCACAGACATATTCAGATGAAGTTGATGGAGAGGCAAGACAAAAAAATAGAGTAGAAAGCAGTAGGTTTCAAAATTTCATAATGCAATGAACTGTATAGATACTTTTTGTGTGGATTTCAAAGCAAACACTTGTTGGGCAGTCTGTTTCTCTGTCATTGTTTCTTGTATATCGTCACTGGCTCTGAATAACTATTGTTTTCTGTGATGCTGTACAATGCCTTCATAACATGAATATTTCTCTATGTGCTGGTCAAAGTTAGTTTTGAAAAAAAAGCATTTTAATCTATCCATCCAACAGAATTCACTGTTTCAGTTTTTAGGAATGCAAATAAAACATAAGAAAAGCTAAAAGTAAATAAAATGAAAGCCAGCATGAAAAATGTATTCTATTCATTTATGTTGATTCTGTTAAAAACTAGGCTTGCTTTTGTTCTCTTGCTGTAAGGAAAAAGGAGTGCATTGGAAATAACTGGGGGCAGCGAAGAGTTTATCTGCTTCTCCCCATTAGTGCAAGGGCTGCAGTCTTCTCTAGATAAGCATAGCTACAAACCATACTGCATTCTCCTTAAAAATCCCCTAAAGAACAGATTAGATTTATGGCTCAATCATTGTCTTGCCACAAGGAAATCTGGGGAGATATTTTCAAGCATTTTATCTTCTAGGTGTTTTAATGACTTCTTTATTGGTTTTATTTTTCTAACCTTTCATGCAACCTTCTGTATTTAGGGGTGATGTCAGCTTGTTGTTCTGGATTATAATAGCAGACGGAGTGATTTATGGATGGACATGAGTCTTGCATATAAAGGAAGAACTATCTTCCTTCAAGCTTTTCTCTCCTTTGAGCTCTAAGATGTAATACTTTAAATGCTAGTTTCCGTTGAAATAGGGGTCTATACAAGGTAGGCAGTGGTGCAGCTTCTTTCATCACTGGAGAAAAGAGAAGCAACTGTTCTGATGCGTGGCACTCACAGGGGCTGGGAAATGATGGAATAACCAGCTTGTCCATCAAGATTCATTGTCAGATGAGAGTGAAATTAGCATTTGAACACAAGACTGAAATGTTGTCTTAATCAACAGTAAAGAGAATAAGCTTGATAGTCAGAGCTTCTTCAGAAATAAAATCTAAGGAGAAGTCTTCCAGAGCTGCTGGGTTTTGGATCTGAATTATGAAAACTGATTCTCTTTCTCTTCCCTCCTTTCCCCTTCCAATAATTCACATTTGCAGTTAGAGTAGCCACAGGCAAAGCAAAGAAACAGAGTTTGAGAAAAGAGACTAGAGATAAGTAAAACTGATAAACTTTGCCAGGAACCAAATCTGTTAGCATTATTGATGGACAGAGCACATCCCTGAAACTTTGGGGGATGCGCTGATGCTGTGGTTGACAGTTTGGCAACTGGAGAGCTGTGTCTTGCACTTTCTGTGTCAAGTCCATGGACTGCAGATTGCCTTTATCTTGTTATACTTCCAGCCTTAGCAGAGCTCAGGGAAGTTTCTAAATGTGTTTCTTTCCTGTTACACTGCCATAGTTCTCCTTACCAGGCCAACCACTTATATCTCTCAAGGAAATTAATTTCTAGGTGCATAACTTGGACTGAATGGTCTGTCTTTCTGAGAATACACATAAAAAAGCAGTCCAGTAAGAAGAATTTACACCTAAAATCCTTCCTTTCCACTTAGAGTTAACTAGAATGTAGGTCCAGAAGACAAGACAGGACAAGAAAAAAACCACAATCTACAAGATTTAAGCAATAGTTTTTCTGAAATGAATATATAGACCAGTACCTTCACTTCTTTCTATGCTGGAATAGAAATTTGCTTGCCTTGGAAAGGCTGTTAAGATAAGAGAAAAAGCCCAAGGCTCTATACTGCTTCATACACCATGATTGCCCTAAGTTCTGTCTCCTTTATCTACAGAGTATTTATTACTGGTGATGGTACCCTTTGCATATCTGTTTTTAGGCTGAACATACTCCTATGTTGCTATGAAAAGATAGGATCCTAAATAGTGAAGGCTATCTGTGTATTTCTTCCCACACTTCTATTCTTTGTTATTCTGAAATCCTGAGAAGGGACTAGGGTAAGGTAGGGTAGAAAAGGGAGAATATTATCTCCATCGTGCAGAAAATTACAAAATTTTGTCTAACCATTATTTGGAAGAAGATCTCAAATTTTCTGCATTATCTGGGAAGCAGATCTCTAGGGAAATAATGAGCTTCTGAGTAGCCCTAGTGTGGGAGGGTCAGCTCTGGGGCCTCCAGGTTGTTTGCCTGCTGCCATAAATCTGGATCCAGAGGTGCTCTGCAGGAAGGTTGGTTTCTGGTGAAATAAAACTAATTTGTCTTGGCGATTTTTCACTCCCCCTTTCAGTGAACTGATAATTTCTAATTCAAAGTATCTCACCATTACCATCTCTTTGGCCAACTGTTAAAACTCATTTTCTTTCATGGGAGAAAAGCTGAATGTTTTGCTGCCTTCTGTTGTTCTCCTTATGTCTCCTCATTCCCTCTTCTGTGCCACTGAGAGGAATGCTATACTGAAGTTGAGCCCCATAACATTTATGTGTTTAGTTATATCATGCTAATACAAACACACACCAAACCAGTTTCAATCCCTATTTTATGCTTGTAAGTCCTAGTGGATATAAATTTAGCCTTTGGGATTTCTTTTGGGAAACCATGCAGATTCTTTATACAAAGCTTAATGATCTTTGTTATTTTGCCACAGATACTGTAAATGTCTCCATTTTGCTGTCATCAGTCAGAGGACCTTTAAGAGATGGGAATTCCTAGTCCCCTGTAGACATTTATTTATTTATTTTAATCTTTAATCTCCTTCCTTTCTTCTTGACCTTGAGTTCAAGATATTCACTTGATTCCCTTCAACTTCATAGTTACAGAAATGGTTTCTAATTAACTTGATCATTCTAACTCAGAATCACTGCAGCAGTGAAGACAAGGAAGCGGATGAATTGATTCTAGACACACTTCATAGCATCGGTGACCACTGCAGACAAAACAAGCAAAGCCCCACTTCACCTAGGTGTAAAGTTCAAACAATAGACTTCATACATGTCCTTTCTGTTCCCCAACTGCTCTTAAAATTCAGCTGCCACTCAGTTCATGCATTGTGCCTGACCTTGTCATTTTAATCTAACTGCAAATTGAAAACAAATGCTTTTTTGCTTTTTTGTTAAGTATGTCCATTACATCTTACAAGAAGTATTTTAATAAGTTAAATAATAATAATAAACAATTTCTTCCTGTTTTGACTACTGTCAGACCTAGGTAAGAGGGACAACATTCAACAGAATTGTTTTAATTATCCTACTAATATTCAACGTGCATTGGTGAGCTCACCTGATGTACCACAGATAGCCCTGATTTATGAAGCCATAATTGAGTTTCCAATAAACATTTGTCAAAATAATGTATTCATTCAAACCAAAGCCTTCTTTATTTATTCATATAAAAGAGCACTTAACTTTCAACAAAGAATTGCCTGCCATCAAGAACACTCCATAAATGAAGGAAATTTATGAAGACGCAGTACCAGAGGGTGACCGGTGGAAGACAAAAGTTCATTTTAACCCTTCAGAGTACTGAGTTCCACCTCGTGTTTGTTACTGGTACTATGCATATTTCTTTCTAAAAGCCCAAACATTAATCTTTGTACATTAAAGCAACAGCTCTTTTTTCTATCGTGGTCTTACATTGTTTTCAAAATAAGATCTCTCACTTCTATTATGCAATGTAGCTACATGCACACAGCTCAAAGGTCAGTTTTTAGGCTTAACTACATTCTGCCCACAGTTGTCACAATATTCTTCCTAAAAAAGTTAAGCTTTGAGAGGCTAAACAACTTACCTTACCTAAGGCAATACATGTACTTGCCAGTCCTTCTAGGTGAAGAATTTTCCTGTTCTACCTCTTTATGCTTTTCTTTACTTCCTAGTACATTAGTTTCATTTGACAGATTTTTAATACAAGATGAACAAAGTGTATGGACTGTACAATCAATATTTGAGTGAAGTGCAGACAATCCCTTGGGATCCACCTTTACCAGTTTTTTTTTATTTTATCTCCAATCTCTCTGACTATGCACAGGCATTTTTTAATGTGAGCCTACAAACATCTTGGAAAAAGAGATGGTTACCTATTTTGTTCTGTGGGGGGTAGGCCAACTGCTGAAAAAATCAAGGGCTAAATGTCCCTGAAAAGCTCCTGGCTGCTGTGAGAAAGCAAATGACAAAACTGCGTGTTTGAAGGTCACTTGCAAGATATATGAAGTTATGAAGATGGAGAGGAAGGCATAGTGAACAGACAGCGGGAGCTGGTGTTTTTCAGCCATTTTTCACATAGCACACTCCACACATTCAGTCAGGCTTGAAGTGTGTTATTACTGTAGTAGAGCAGAAAGGGACCTCAGACATCATTTTGTAGAGTTTTTTTGTCCGACAGCAGAACCATGGTGCTTGTGCCATTCCTGGCAGGTTTTCTAACTGATTCTGAACAACAATGTCCCAGGTAATCTTCTCCAGATCTACGCAGTCTTGTCCGTCAGAAGCCTCCTATGTCCAGCCTCTTTACTGCAATCTGAGTCACTTGTTTTCCTCCTTGCCTTGCAGAGAAGACTGTTTCCTTCTGTGAAGCAGTATTTCACGTATTTGAACATCATGTTCCAAATACCAAACACACAAAACCACTTAATCATGTATATCTTGTCTTCTACACTGACAATCCTTCCTGCTGCCTTCTCTTCCAGTTGATCATGTGCTTCTTGAAGTGCAAGACCTAAATTCTTTATGCAGTACTCTAGCTACTGCCGAGTGCATCAGATGGATTACTTCTTGTGTCCACAGGCTATAATTCTATTTTTATATAATAATTACGGGGTGTTTGTTTGTTTGTTTTAACAACATAATGACTTTCAGTGACACATATTCAATGCAATGTAGCACAAATATTTTTATGCAGAAGCATTGTCTCCCTTTGGGTGTTTGATTTTCACTGTAAGATGAGGTTCAGCTCCTGCCTTCTTTAGGGTCTGGTTTCCTTTACAGAGATTTGTTCCCATGAATATGCAGCCCCT